TCAACACACCATTCTCCTCAGCAATCTACAGTATTGACCAGATAAGAAAATTATAAAATCGTTGGGCGAAGCATAACCTGAGTAAATATGTTTCACCATTAACCAGCTGTCGCCCCCCTACGAACGACAACTCTCAACAGTCGAAACTTGTGCGAGCTAAGGACTAACGAGGTCTTACCTTTCAACGTGTGATTCCACACAACACGGGTTGGACGATAGAAAGTGAAAATCGATCTTTCAGCTTTGAGGCTCGAACCAATGGTTCACACAGCGGTCAAATAAGTGAGTGGAGCAAACCACCCATGTCAACCCACCAGGCTACCGTATCACCTGAATATCCCACTGTATCCCACCGTGAATATGAAAATCTTTCGTCCAACGACTTTACAATTTTTTTATCTGATCAATACCGTAGATTGAGGATAGTGGTGTGATGGCTACTACCTAGAACCTTCCGAATCAGTTTTTTGTATCATTATTTTTTTTCTTATTTTATTTTCAAGTTTTCAGTTTTTATTTTGTTACTCAACTCTTCTCATTTTGTTTGGTGCCTCAGTATTACAAGGTAATATGTAATCTGTCATTTTGTAGCTGCAGCCATTTTGAATTTGCATCTATTTCAAACTGTGTATTCTACTAGTCAAGCCCTGTCATTTGATACTCATATTGAGGTAGTTGTGAAACAATATGTAATACGCCATAAATAAATACAAGCATAATTGTTTCAATGAATGTAGCCGTCCCTATTGCTACTGATTGTTAACTGGCATTAGTATTCATCGTTGTAGCTACCGAATGACTGAAAACTTGACTGGCTAATTTAACCTTCATCCTTTGAAAATTAGTAGAAAATGAATAAGAATCGATAAGTTTGGGTGCTAGTCTATATTGCTCTTCCTTATCCAAATTGTAAAGTTGTCCAAGATGACTTTTGTTCGTTTTGAATTCATCAAATTTCAAAAGGTCATCGAAAAAATGGTTTCTGCTACATTTCAGCAGATGAGAAGGATAAAAAAAGTAAAATATTTTTTCTAATCAACAATTAAATATGTTTGCTCTACAATCACTTTGACATCTTATATGGCAAGTGTATACAAATTAAAACCTAAATCTGAAATGATACTCCTAACTCTTAATCCAATTTTTGATAATTGTCTAACAGCTTCAATCAGAATACTTTTTATAACCGGTATTGATGTGGATGAATTGGTAAAAAAGTATGCAACAGTGGGCTCCAAAGAAGGTTATTTGAATATACATTTGATACTTTGGTTTTGCAGAGATTTCAGTGGAAGTAATATTTTTCTCACAGGTACATACTAGCCAAATCAAAAAATGAGGTTCAACAATTATTTTGCTTTGTGGGTTTCCAGTGGAACTCCGATTGTTTTGTCATTTTGTATCATTACTATACTATTCGTAAAGTTCAATTTCATCAAATTGATAGTGCCACACTTAAAAACATTTGGGAACCCATGTCGGAAAAAATATCTCTATAAAACAACGATTCTTTGGTGCTTCAAATTTCATAAAAGCAGGAGAAATGACAAAAAATGTTATCAAACTAAACGCTATCAACCACAGTTACAAGGTAGATATTAACGACTTTATTATTTCCAACATTACTAGTTTTTTGAAGAATTACTTGGATTCAGCTTAAAGAACAAATGACCATTTAAGTAAATTCATTAAAAATAGTAAAGGCAAAACTTCAGTCTCGGATAGGTCAGGAATATATAAGTTGACTTGTATTTTTTTACCGAAGCTTTATATCGGCTAATGGGCTAAATGTGAGAATCTCTCGTTTGGCCCATTAGCCGAACAAAGAATGAGACATAGAGTTAGTTCTTTCAATGTAAATGCCAGTTCCATATTCACAAACCATAATTTCGTAAGGGGACATGAGTTCAACCACGACTATGAAGTATTACGTTTCGATGAGAAAGGTCTCAAACTCAATATTTTTTGAAAAATTTCCTGAATGACCAAAACGAATTGAATTATTTTCCTCTTCTGAATCAGTTATCTGATTTGAAAATTGGTAATTAGTTTATTGCCACTGAATGAGTTGGTAGACGTTTATAGTTTTCTAATTTTTAATTAGTATTTACCTTAATTCGGCTAAAATTTTCACTTATTAAGTAGATAGACTGTTTTGGGATACAAACTGTTATTGAACTAATCACAAAGTAGGTGGAATTCAGTATGAAAACGTTTTAGAAAGCTATTATATAGCGAAACACGTGTTGAAATTTTGTAAAGTGTCTAGTGAAAATCTGACATTAAAGTGTTACTTGAATACAGTGTGATTATTTTCCTCAACGTATGAAAACGATGGAATAGTTGAAAACTAGACGGGTTTCACAAAGTTTTACAGCGAATAAATACACTAGACCTGTTTTAACCATTAAAATTGATTGTTGCTCATGACAAGTGCTGTGAACATGGATATTTTTTTCACATAAATTCTAAAATGAGGATTTAATTGTCCAAATTTTGCTGCTTTCGGGTTTAATAATTTTGGGAAAATCTCTTGACCTACCAACTCGGATTTTATCAAATTATTGAGTCATTTGCTAAGCAAAATTTCTGAAAATATCGATTCGCACACATTTCAATTGGTCAAACTTGTTGTAATCGGGATATAATGAAATGAATGAATGTGACTCAAAAACTCAGTTTGTTATTTATGAATATATAGGTACATAAATACATATCGCGGAAGACAAAGCAACCCTTTCGCACGCCCCTGGTATTACACAACCATTATACGAGGATTAAAGCGAAATCACGAGCACGACCTAACCGTCCTTAGCTCTGGCATTGTCTCGGACCGAGTCGTTTGGAAAAACGAATAAATATCTCGGAGATACCAAGATACTTCTGCGATGCGGACTAATTCCGCCCGATGTGCCATAAGACTATTAAAACTCTAAACGCAATGCGAACCGAGCTTTCATTATTTGTAATCTAACGGGACTTATGGAAAAAGTTTCCATTTATTTTTAATTCCCTATATTCCACCCTTTTATTGAAAGCCGAGGAATACATCTTACCTAAGGCCTTGCGTAAACCTCGCCGGGAAGAGTTTAAGGGACTGGAGAGTGCACCGAGCTGTAGAAAATTTCAAATAAACCTATTGTGTTTTAATTCATTCGAAGCCTTTTGTCATTTCGAGACCGTGAATAAGAAAAGTTCCTTAACAGAAATCAAGTAACGTCAAAATTCAAGGGACTTGATGGTCTTCAATCGGTGAAAATTGACCGATTAAAATGCCTATACACTGGTGCAGTGACTCCGACGATCAATATGATCCACGTATCCGAGGATACGTCACTAAGCTATAAAACGCAGATCAAGCTACGACACGCTTAGCTCCGCCTCCATATGTAGATACCTGTCGAAATTGGATATACAGTGTGTCTCACTTTTCATGGAAGCACTCCTGTAACTTCCGTAATTATCAAGGTAGAATGATGAAACTTGCAGGATTGAAACAGTTACGGACTAAATGGTGTTGGCCTGCCCGCCATTCGCGATGGAAGAGCCCATTTTTACGGTAAATCATACTAGGGGCAAAATAGGCTGAAAATTCCTCCAAATTACTGCAGGTGCACGTTTTTCCTGAAAAAATATCAGCCCTGTTTTCCACGGCAACGTCAGGACATCCCTACATTTTAATTGAATACAAGAATTTGAATTCGCGAAAGAAGATGGCAATGATTTAGCAGTCAACAAATATTGAAAAGTTATGAAATACAATGATTTTTTTTCGAAAAATCATTTTCATTGGATGTTTCCGTTGGTTGAATTGATTTATTTCTAAACTGAGAGCACCATAAGCTAATGTTCAGATTTTATTATTATTCTCCATCAGAAGTATTGCTTCAGGTGAAAAGTGTTTTTGGTATATGTTTCAATTCCCCTAATTCCACTATTTTACAACAATTACGAGAGATACGATGTGCTTCCAAGAAAATTAAGACAAATTTGGATTTTTCAGGGCTGAAATTTCGAATATTTGTTCATAATGTGTCATTTGAATGTTAATGAAATTATGTTAAATATTTTCGACTAATTTACTAAAGAAAAGAACAGTGGTGGACATCTTACTGCAAATTCAACAGCAGGTGTGTGAAGCTTATGGAGTAAATGNAAAGAGTTTGTTGTTCGAATTTAGGGAGCTATTAAAACTCATTTCTAAACTTGTTTTAAATCTCATTTTAATAGCTCTGCCTAACCGCGTTACCGATTTTTAGACCTGAATAGTCTAGTGTCTCACAACGCCGTGAAAAACGGCCATCGAATAAATGACAATTGCTCCAAGCCTCTTTCATGCACACAATTTTTGTGGTTGATCGTGTTGCGTTTTTAATGAAATGCAAATTTCACTCTCTTACATGCATCAAAGACGTTGGTCATCCACTAAATTGTGTTGAAATCTTGAGGGACACACATTGTACATTCCATGAAAAATTAAGACGTAACAATGATAAATTTTTCAATTATAGTATTATGTCAATAGACTCTTTTGATGAGTTCTGTAATGCTACTATCAACATACGAGTATACGGACTGAACTAATACCTCTACTGAGCCAACATGATGTCAATTTGAATCAGTGCAGATTCAAAACGTCTATCGCGACGCGTTCTGTAACAGGCGACATAATTTTTGAGATCACCACGACAGTGAGCGACTAATGCATAAAAACCCGTATATGAAACAATGGAAGACACCGCGATTTTTGTTGTAAAGCGACAGATGTCAAGATTCGCGTGCAAAAAAGAGGTTTCAAGTATGACATGAAAACTATGAACGGCGATAAAGCGACAAAACTCTTGCTCCAAACATATTATCGTTCAGTATGTAGTATGCCACTTTATTCAAATTGGAGGAATGTGTTCCTCTAATGTATACTGCAGGAAGCATATTTGTGTGACTGAAAGTAAATATATCCAAATATCTTAAGACGTTGTATATCCAACCATTGCCAGACATTGAGGTGAATCTATGGTAGGTATATTTGTCTTTATTTTTTTCACATATCTAAAACAATGGATGTAATAAATATAATCTAAATTCAATGCCTGAAATATAAAATCACATAATTATTAGAGGACTATAAAAATACAAAAAGATATCACAATTGTACTACTATATACTAAATTCGTTGAGAACAAGAATAAATAAGTGGTTCAACTTTCCTTTGAGATTTGTACTTTCAAAACACTTTTTCGAAAAATAAATTATAGTTAAGGTAATATACACAAATGAATTGTTATTTCTTGAGATTTTTTGATTGTATCATTCTGTTTCATTGGAAATATTAAAAAAAAAAGCAAAAAAGTTACGTATATTCTCTCGTCCAATTGAAAATGTGTGAATACTTCACAAAAAGGTTTATAGAAGTGTTCCAAACGTCAACCTCATTTTCAATTTTGTATATCTATAGATCAGGATTATGGTATGTCCTGTTTTTCCGTAATTATCATTTGAGTTACGAAAACTGTAAAATCTCAAGAAACATTCATTTCTTCATAAAAATATCTTTCAAATTATTCTGGATAACGCTTCTTTCCCATGCTTACATGCTGTAATCAAAAATTAGAGAGCATCATCACCATGTTCAGATAACAAATTGTTCATAAACAAGGGCAACTGATGGTTTGACACTAAAGTTTTACAAGAAAACCTAAATATGATGAATATAACTGAATATAATGAATATCTACCATTGTGTCAAAGTATTCATAATTCAGTTTCGCAAACCTTCGTGAACTTTGACTTCCTAAAAATTGAGAAACTGTTGGGAATAACTATTTCTTTGGAGTCAGTTTCATTGCTGGTGTTTTCCATTTTATTTTGTTCTGGGGGGCATAGGGTGGAATCAGAGTCTGAGCCAGGATCTCCCAATTGGTCAGCAATTTCTTCTAAAGATGTACTGATCGACACATCCGAAGATTTGTTGGACGTTTTTGAGTTTTTTCTGGAGCTAGATTTCGAACTAGGTTTCTTTGGTGGAGGTAGAGGTGGTACTATTCCAACTTCATTATTCACTTCGTCGTCCATTTTTTCAGAACCGACATGTTGAACATTATGCCTATGTGCGACGCGACCTATTTGTTGACGAATACAAGGCGATTCCTCGTTTGTCGAGAGATTCTTGATAGTTTCTACGCCATTGGATGCAGAAGGGTATGTGGGGTCTCTGGGAGCGCGCATTTCAGTAATTCTAGGGTTTACTTCAAAATCAGCGCTGCTGTCATAACGCTTGGCGGTAAAGAGTTGAATATCATTGAGGAAGAACAGGAGGATAGTACTAAGAGTTACTGCTAAGATAATCATCACAATCGTAATTATTGAGAGGAACATTGGAAAGTGTTCTGAGAAGTATTGGCAGCTCTGTCCGCTTTTTATTTCGCAAAAGAAATCTGAAACAAACAATATATTAGAACAAACAAATCATTATTTATAAGTGGAAATAGATACATCATCCATGGGGTCAACAGAATCCTCAAACCTTGCTTATTCAAGACCAATGATCTTCGATATCGACCGGCGTATAGGAAATCGCGTCCTGTCTTTCTTACAGCTCCAACTACCAGGCAAATAGAGAAAACACAAACACGAGCATTCGTGATACAACACCGAAAAGCGCTATTTCGGCCTGACATAGGCTTCAGCAGTGCTTCTACGCTGATCCTAGGAATGCATTGTTCTAAGGACAAGCCTACGTAGACGCCATCTGTGGGATTGACAAAAAACTCAAACCTTTCTTATCCAAGTTGAACAAGAACCTTTGGTGGTCTGTTATATATCTTAGATTACCAAGGTTTGAATTTTCTGTCGATTCCATAGATGTCGTCTTTGTGAAAAAAGATGATCATGCTTACTCAAACTCAGGTTTTTCCTTTAAGGTTAGTGGAGTAAAATGATGCATTCGTGGTTCATCTCAGCATCACGGTAGCTCGCTGTAAATCATTGGGTAATTGTGTGAGGAAAATGTTTTAGTTTTCTGGGTTAGGTGTTCTTTTTCCACACTTTATGACTATGTCAATATATACATCTATAGAGTGTTTCTAACTGCGGTGAAGAAATTTAAGGGCCTATTCGAAAGCTAATTTCATGAAAAAAAGATCATATAAACATAGGTCCGAAAATGCATAATTTCCAAAATACAGGAACTTTTCTAATCATTCTCAATACCGACTTATAGTTTATCCGATTTCTGTGAAATTTGGCAGTATTATATCCAGTGATAAGAGATACTGGCGTCACTTGTAAACAATGCATTTCCTAACCGGTGTTTAAATGAACTTTTTTCATGAAACCAGCTCCTGAACACACCCTAATATTTTTTTAGCGCAATCAGGAAACACCTTGTATATACTCAGAATGAAGAGTAGTATTTGCTAACATAGACCATCTTTTTCAACTTTGAATAGAACTCAGCTCAGAGATCATGGGTGGAGTAATTTTTTTTCAATTTTTGTTTGCAATCATTTTTCATTCCCAAAACGAACAGAAGCAAAGTTGATTCGATAGATTGGATTCGCTTCTCAATAATAATACAAATTATGGACGAATAGAAAAGTTTTGAATCATTAAATGAATGTATTTACAAGAAATGAGTAATATGGCAAGTTGTTTTCTAGTTTTATTTTTATTTGGACTTGTTCAAGCTAATAATAATATTTTATTGAATATTCTCAACAGTTATTTGAAAATTTCCAATTCTGTGGAAGAGACATAGAGTATGTCCAATATTAGTAGGGTGCTATTGACGATTCCGAACTTTTCCCCACCACTCGACCTTGGCATTGAGTGACGTCGCGATGTGAATGTTCTATGTCCTTGAATATTCCTACACGACCTTGAGCTATGTGCACCTCATATAACCTTGAGAACAGAGTTTGATCTTGACGATCGACTCTGCCCTTGATTTATCACTTTGAGCTCGAGGCACATCCTGTTACTTTGAATGAAACCTCATAGTTTCACCTTGGAATGGAATGGAGGGGAGTGTGCTCTTATAGGAAGTGTGGTGTGAATGTTTCAATTATTCCAAATTCTCCTCATAGTCGTTTGGTATTATAAACAAGATGTATACGTGTAGTGATTTTGGAAAAAGTTTGACTCGGAGTGACAACCTGCGCCATCATCAGCGGGATTCCTGTACTTCCGGGAATAATGAAGGGCCAGCAACATCAAAAAGGCGTAGGTTGAACCGTTCAACAACTCCACAAATGCAGACATGCTTGTCCTGCAACCTGACTATTGCAAGCAGAACTAATGCATATGTTCAATATGGAGACGATATTGAAAATATACGCACAGTGTTCAAGAGTATAATTATGAGCTACAGAGTAGATATTTAGAACCACCATATGGATTACCCCATACTTTTCAATGGATTGAAGTAGAAAGTATTGAAACTACCCGAAAGAGTGTTAGCGATTCATAAATATGTGAAAGTTTATTATGGAGATGTTTGGATTATACTACCATCGAACTAGGGAGCTTTTAGAAGTGAAAGCATTCACTAATCTCAATCAAGTTGTTGATTAATTGAATAATTTGGATATGGTTTATGACACTTTTGTTGATGGTTTGACTGCCTGAACAATGGAATTTCAAGATCGAGATTCTGGGATGTGATGTGGTCACAACATTGAAGAAAATATATCTTCAGGTTAATTCGTCAATATAATTCTGTGTATCGAGGTGAATGTTAATAAGTGTAGTCCTCTTGGAGGAGCTTCTCATATCAAGTTACCCAAATTCATCGAGTTAAAAAAAAGTGTTGTGAATGATGTCAGTCAGGATCATTACTGTTTTGCGTGGGCTGTAACTTCAGATTCGTATCCTGTCAATGTGAGAGTGCGTGAAATTTCATCATATCCTCACTTTTTCAAAGTGTTGAATGTAGCAGGTACGAATTTTCCAGGTAAGTTGAAATATATTTCTGAATTTGGGATTATGAATTATAGCTCTATTAATATTCATGGTTTGGAAAATAGTTTAGCGAACGACGGTCGAACGATTGATTGTCACTTCCTATCATCCAACCCGTGTTAGAAATCACACGTTGGAAAGTAAGACCTCGTTAGTCCTTAGCTCACACAAGTTTTGACTTTTGAGAGGAGGCAACAGCTGGTTAACAGAAAAAGATATTGGAGAGGATGCTATTGAAGTACGTGACCACTGCTGCCTAATAGAAAAAACGAAATGGAGCAACAAATTCCGTTTGTAACCTCGACTTCAAATTGCCCAACTTCATCCCTGATATCATCGCTCAAACTGAAGAGAAATATGTTTCTTTCACGAAACATTTATTCATGGAAGAGAAAGTGGATCGTAATGGGCAAATGAAAGAAATGTTATCGAAATCAAGGTTCATTGACAGTTTTGAGTTTATGACTGCATCTCTGCAAGAGTTGGGTGATTTTAGATGGGAAAAGTCTTGTGAAAACGAGGAAATATTTTCCTTTCAACTTATGAGGCAGAAATGTGTTTTTATGCACAAACTCAGCGATTCTCTAAATAAATTGTTAACTGACATTGATTTGATGCATTTTTCACAAAATGGTATAAACGGTGGTGTTAGTCGATTCTCGGAGAGGCAGCACACATTGCAAACAATCAGTTTTTTCAAATTATAATCCTAATGAATATTCATCATGTACAAGTATTACACCACCTGGTTCAAAGTCCAAAATACCTGAACTTAATTTGATATACTTAATTTGAATGAAAAAAATATATCGTTCATAATAGAAACTATAAACACAGTCCGTAATGGTTTGATGGTAATGAGGACTCTTGGAATTATCAGATAGATTTGATAAATCATCATGGTTGAAAAAATATATCGATTCGGATACCAACCTGAGAAATTAGGCTACCAATGAGATTGAAAATGATATCAATTCCATATAAGGTGAAACAGTCATTTACGACTCTCTACTCCTTCTCTACACCGATACGGATTCTTTGATACTGAAAATAATGATAGACAATTTTCATCATCTCATTATTGGGAATATTAATGAATTTTATACTTCGGTGATTAGAAATATAAGATGAACTTCCAAATGATCCTATAATCAGTTCCCATGGCACCGGTGCCAAACCATATCACATTCAAATTGTGTCAGATGGAATGAGGAAAGCTGAAGTTATCAAACAATCCGTTATCGAAAATCAAATTTCAATTGACGATTACATTATGATTGTTGAAACAGGTGGTACGATAATTGCGATAAATGTATTCAGGGGTGATTCACATGATATCTATACGCTGATGTGCAATAAAGTCTCTCTGTCATATAGGGATATTGAACGATTCAATATTTCCAATATCACCTTGGGGCCGAAACGACATTGAGTTTTATCAAACGACCTCCCAACGAAATTTGAGAATTATTTCAGAAGTACTGGAAGATAGAAACAATATTGCTGATGAAAATTTAGATCTCCTCAATGTATCTTCGGAAATGCGATCGGGTAATTGAATATTGAATTCCCAATTTTTTTGGTGTTCAACAATTTGGTAAATGTATACTTGTCGAATGATTCAAACGGATTGTTGTACCTCACTTCCACCTCAATTCATCCCTACTAGAAATGGGCTAGGCTTATGGCTTTGGATCACGTAGAGGCTCACATCTCATCATTCGATTGCCATAGTCCATCGAACGAACTTGCAGTGTCGCAGCCAAGTCAAGTGAAGAAGCCTAGCCAAGCGACCGAGCAATCTGTCGATTTTCAGTTAGCAGCAGTCAGCATTTGAAAGCAGCTCGATGTTAGTACACACTATTATGCTATTCATATCATATTGTCTAATATATTTTCTTTTCACTTTCTTTCAGAACCACGCCTTTATTAGGAAAGGCATGATTGACCCCAGCAAACCCTCTGAACCAGGCACAGTTGGTTGAAGTGGAGCGAATGAAGGTGGTTGTCCACCAGGACGTTATCTTCCAAAGAGTTTGTGCCCCACCAACACCGGCGATGACTTGCATCTAGAAGATGGCGGCTCCTGACGTGAAGTTCTTTTTCGAAGGCTTCAACCAAACCGAGAGGGACAGGAGGACCGCTGCTCTCCACTATGCTCCCCACAAACTATGTTGGTGACTTCAACTTTGGTGGATTTGATACAATAATTTATTGTTTAAGGACATTTTCAAACGGATACAATGAATTATTGTGTCCTTATAGGACGAAACTGCAGTAGCGTTAGTTATAAATACAAGTGGTATAAAAACATAGAAGAAAGTTTTCCAGAACTCATATTTGGGTTGATAGAGAGATTCTGCATGAGAATAAACATTAACAAATCGTAATCCCAGTGGATGAAATAGCAGAGAAATCATAACATCAGTATTTCCACAGTTCGAAGGTCCGATTATTGGGCCTTACACCGACAGTGCAAGGCACTATTTCATCGAAATTAGCAATGAAAAATTGTTACTTCTCTCAACAATATGCATTGTATGACCTTCGAAGGGTAAACAATATTTCTTCATCAAATCCATCACTGAAGTGAGAATTACAAGTCGATGCAGATGAACTGGACTGCAGTCAAATACAACTTGTAAAGGATTGGTCAATTCTCCTCACCTACCATTTGAATTACACTTACCTGGTTATCAGTATTGCGGTCCTAGCACGAAATTACAGACAAAATTGGCAAGAGGTGATCCAGGTATCAATCAACTCGATTACTCATGCAAAAGGCACATTATTGCATATGTTGCGGAACGGCTAACATACTCATTTTTATTTTCTTAATTTTGCCTGTACCCTCAAAACGACTTCAATATGATTGCGCCCTCTGTGGTGTGTTGGAGCGATGAAAAGGGACGAACATTGTTGTTGTTGCATTGTTTTTCTATGTGGTTGATTGTCCGCCATTCTCGACTGCCCAGTTCAACTGTGAATTATTCGTTTTTTGCTGATAATATTTATGTTTATCACACCGCATAATATCGTGCTTCTTGATACACGGATTAGCTTCGATTCCAAGAACTGGTACCTATCTCAGGACTCTGATGAGACAGCCGCAATCCACTCAAGGTAAGTCGTCTTTGAGTGATTTACTTTAACATTTTGTTAAGTATCATAACGGTATACTGTCCCTACTGTTCCTATTACCGATCCGTTACAGCATATTAACAGACACAGATCAATGTACTTATATATTAATGTATAAGTTTAAAAATGTCCTCATAGGACGAAACTGCAGTAACGTTAGTTACAAATAAAATTGGTGAAATACATAGAAAGTTTCAATTCTCTTTTCTTCATAAATTATAAGGTTTGAAATTCAATCAACTACTATTCGTTACGCGTTTGATACTCATAACAAGTTCATAATACGTATATAGATTAATTACAGAGATTTCAAGCTGCTTAGAATCCTATATAACCATTTCCATGCGGAAATTTTCGCCTCTGATTCAAATATGGAGATATGGGCGAAAACTCAACTCACACATGAACTAATCGGGTTCTATGCGTCTTCACCATGGAAGGGTTGAATATTTAACTGGAGGCCTATACTTCAAATCATTGTTACAGATTTTTTCTGAGGAATACTAACCTACGATGTTCAAATAGATGAATCTAACGGGAACATATGAAATTAGCTGCAGATTCATAAGAGCCAATCCAAGAGCCATCGATTTATCTTTTTCGAAAACACTTCTGATATTTATAACGATATGTGATACAAGGGTAGTGGCTAACAGAACATTGGACAAAATGCCAAGGGCCTGTCCTATCGCCCGTGAAATTCTACAGCTATCATCATCGCAAGAACCTTCGATTACTGGTGTGCCACAGGAACAGTCGTGAAAGAGCTGAAAGAAAATGTTATCATTAGGCAAAATTTCGTAAGTTTCATGACGTATTCATTTGCAATAAAATTCATAAAGCTTGTGGATGAAAGTGATGTTCTGGGGTATAAAATATAAATATACATAGGTATTGTAGAAGAGTTTCCTATCGACTTTGTGAGCCCAAATTAAACAAGGCAAAAATGGTAAGGTTATAAGAGAATGATGAAAATTTTTTTGTTTGAATTAGTAAGCAAATGTTCACCGATATTTGAGGAACATCAGAAGTTATTACCAAGAAATAACCTTAAAAAAGGTCATTTATACTGAAACAAGTAAATAGTAACTTAGGACAGAAATATGAAAAATAGATCAAATAACTAAATCTTTTTGTGAAACATTGCAATCCGAAACTTTCACCACTGAGAAAAAGTATAAGTACTCGAAGATGAAAATGCCAAACTTAAAGACAACTTGAGAAAGTAGAAAGTAAACGAAGATTAAAATAATCATTTGCGTATAATCCAATTGAAATATCCAGCCAAATGGCATTTATAGAATAAGAAAATAGATAGGAACATACTGACCCATATTGGTTTCATTAAATTCTAAGTTCAACCGACACGGACTACTAAGAAATACTCAAAAACTACATGTAGAGGGGTTAAAAGAAGCACTTTGTAACTAATCACCACATCACCACTAGTGATGAATCTAAAAATCAAATCTTGAAATACGATTATTTTCCAAAAAATAAAACAAACAGTGAGTCATCTACACCAAACCCGAAAGTTTCATAAAGAGGAGCAAAGTAATTCAGTTTATTGTAACCAAAAAAATATTCTGTAAGATATGAATAAAACATATAAAAAAGAATAGGAAATACAGTAGAAAACAAAAACAGTTTCGATTAACTCAGTAGTGAAAAGACCTAAAAAAGCACCGTGTCAAATTGTAGACTAGCTAAAAAGTTATAAACAGGTCAAAAAAATTCAGATATTCTCAAATTTTACTCAGTTAGAGAAATATTAACAAGAGGAAGTGTCAAGACAAGACTGTGGACCGAAAATGAAAGAAATGGAACATAAAACTCAATAGTAAGAAATGAAATTTTATCGAAAACAATTCGTAATATTTCATTTCTGAAATTTACGCATCCTAATAAACTATATTACCATTTCAATAAAATATATGTACCAAACTAAAAATATATCTACTCGTCCAAGAATTCGAAATAAATTAATTAGAAACAAAGGAGCCAAAGAAATCCTAAAAACAAACGGAAGTTTCTTCGAATATAAAAATAACCTATAATAATATTCAGAACAGACACTGTTTTAAAACACTAGAACTGCAACACTTTTCTCAACGCGCGTTTTACCAACCAAGTTAGCGTCTTCGAAAGATGACATTAATTCATGATTCCAAACTGGTCTCAATATTTGTCAGGGGTACACTTCCATTTCCGCTGTCACACACATCAATGGTTTCAGGGTAAAAAAAAAGATTATTAAATGATTCACAAAGACATATGTTTTATATCTGAAATCAGACAGAGGCTGTGCTATTGACAAATCAGATAACTATGAAATAATAGATAATTTAATTGAGAACGGCCCCTGTAATGAATAACCAATCAACCAATTTCCTAAGATGGTTTCAGAAGTGAAAAAAAAACACACCCACCAATTTTGAATAGGAGTCTACAGATTTTTAATTCTGCAGTTTAAATATGTAGTCTACCAAGAACAACAGGAGAGAACGGCTATGGGTAACCAGTTGTCCCCCTACCCGGTAAAACTGTTCATGAGCAGATTTGAAATGGAAACCAAAGAAAAGTCAAAGTATTTTCCTAGGATATGGCTAAGGTATGTGTATGATATTTTCGCGATATTCAATAACAAAAAATCCAATATTGAGGACTTTGTTTCTTTTTTAAATAATAGATTTCCATCAATAAAATTCACGTATGAGTTAGAAACTAAAGGACAACTTCCATTTCTTGACGTTTTGGTGATGAGGAGCTAATATGAGGGTTAGAATACGATGTTTTGAGAAAAAAAAACTCGTACAGGTATATTCCTGACAGTTCACTGTGGACAGCACAAACGTGCTGGGTTGAGTTTTCTAGGGCATCGTCTTTTGACTTTTCCTCTAACACATGAGAGGTTCACAAAAGAAAAACGTACAACACAGGAAGCCACTAACGGTTTGTCGAGGGGTGTTGTAGATGACATAATAAGGAAGAAGAAATTTAGTATGGGAATGAACGAAATCTCGACTTTTAGAAAGGACAAAAGCCAAGAATAATATATCTCAGTTCCATGCCACCAATACACGAAGAACTTTGGAAAGATTCGCAAGGAACTAGGTATGAAGGTGGTTTTTAAAACAAGTCATACACCACAGAGCATTTTAGGAAATCCAAAACACAAATTCGAGAATTTGGAAAAGTCTGGAATTTATGAAATTAAATGTAAAGGCTACCATGCAAAATATTGTGGACAGACAAAAAGATCAATTAAAATAAGATATAAGGAATACTTAGCACATTTAAAATATGGAAGACCTGAAAAATCAGCAGTCGCCCATCATATTTTGCAATAAAACCATTCCATATACTTCAGTTTCATAGGGACACATTGTAAAATTTATTTAAGACTAGTAGATAAGGCTATATATGAAATTGATTTTATATAGCTTATAATATTGTAATTATTAGATTTACCTGACTACTGCATAAGGACACATTGTAAAATTAATTTAAGACAGGTTGATAAGGCAAATTGTTAAATTGACACTCAAGACCTAGGTACCTACCTAAAACAGGTATCTCTTGAAGATGATCACTTGGTGATCGAAACACGGGTCGAGGTGTTAAGTTATTTTAACACCTCGACCCGGTTTGGTGTTGTGGAAAAAACTTCAGTAATATTCAAAGCTCATAGTTCATCCATATTCTAACGATTTGGATGGAATTTTCCAAAATCTGAATGTGAAGGTAGCCTTCAAAACTTCCTGCTCACTTCAACAAATGTTAGGTAACCCTGAATACGAAATGTTGAAACATGACAAGTCAGGGTTATATGAAATAAGCTGTTAGGGCTGTGACAAAAAATATGTCGGTCAGACGGTCGCTATAACCGCCTTGGGAAACGGCTATCGTATAAATAAAAACTCACTGAAATTGTTGACATCGGTAAAAACATTGGATTTTCAGATGCTTTCGAAAGTCTGGAAATAGCAAAGTGTGTCATCACAACTATGAACAGTGACAGAAGTCCCATTCCACAGCTCACTGTTCATTTTCATATGAATCGCTATGTCAAACCGGGAACTTTGACGAGAAAATTTCTCGCCAATTTCTACGCGAAATCATTGATGTGTGTCTGAGAGTGAAAACGTACCCTGTTAGATATAATGACCACTTTTAGAGTTGGGAATTACAGTATTAACTTCAGTATTGAATGTTGTTGTCAAGTGCGAGAGGGGGTAATTACCCCCATTAATAGTATTTCATTCAAAGTTGTCAATGTTTCTCCCAGATATTGCCATTTATCATCAATCTTAAAATCATTTTGAGAAATGAGATTATCAGTAACTGTTCTCACTCACGTTGGTCGCTGGTGTAAAATTCGTGCATCCAGCTAAACAAGGGGAAAAATACGTTTTTCCATCGACACAAACAGGTTGGAAAGGTTCTCCGACTGTACATGCACACATGCTGCTACAAAATGGAACCGATATAACGTGTTCGAGTTCGTTTTGGATGCCCTTCGTACAGGTCCAGAATACGGAACTTGCAAAAATTATTGCCATCAACATGAAAGTCAAAATGTTCCAAATGATGAGGTGTTTTGCTCTCGGTCTTGCTTTCGAAATTATTATTCCTGATATCACTAGAAAGATGGCGAAGAGTGGTTGGACCAACATGTTTGAAGTGAACTGAATCAAATCTGGTTCGGTGTAACCTGAAGTATCTTTTTCCATAGACATGTGGTATTTGGACTGATTGAAGTACTTCTCCAATAATCTGAAGTTGATCAGAGCTGATTGTATCAGGACAAATGAGAAGATGTTGAACAGTAGGGTCTTGTTCTTCAAAACTCTCCAAACAGTTTCAAAAAATGCTGAAATACAGAAAGTGTTTGTATATATTAAAATAATCNAAACTTTCTATGTTCTTTACCACTTTTATTTGTAACTAACGTTATTGCAGTTTCGTCTTATACGAGCATTTTCAAACTTATACAATCAACAGTTGTTAATTTTTTTTTGTTGACATTATTTCATTCTCTGATGTCTGTGAACAAGCTGTAATAGTCGGCAAATTTTTGAAATGAAGATTATTATTATTATTGCTTACGTTTGTATAAATGTCCGTATAGGACGATACTGCAGCAACGTTAGTTACAAATAAAAATTATAATTTCCTACCACGTAGTAACGGCTACATCCATCAATTTATTGAAAATAAAAAAGATATTAATAATTCACCTATTTCTGAAAGTTCTGTGATTACCTGGTGATAAAAAAATTTCATTTATACTCGAAATGTAAACGGTCCAAGAACAGTATATTCCTATTTGTTTACCAATTTCACCAGCTGCTGTTACCAAACCTAGAAAAAATATTAGGTAATATTCAGCATTTTCTAAAATCTTCTCACAGCAAGTTTAAAGATATGCTCAAAATATGTTATTTTGTTTACCAGCTGTCACACCCCTACGAACGACAACCCTCAGAAGTCGAAACTTGTGCAAGATAAGGACTAACGAGGTCTTACCTTTTAACGTGTGATTCCTAACACGGGTTGGACGACAGCAAGTGAAAATCGATCGTGTAGGTTCGACGGTACCCACGTCGAACCTACATGCTACCGACTAAGTAATTTTTTTCATTGAAATCCAGAACTGACTAGCCATCATAACTTGCGGGTAGTTAGCGTCGGATGCTAGCGTCCAAATCAAGCGCTTTCCCCCCACTCTCGAGTCCGATTCACACCACAAACTAATGAATGACTGAACAGCTGGTCGTGCTGTCTTCATCTAGGCTCTACTCAAACAGTTTGAGTGATAATATTTCATCTTGGATGTCACTTATCCAGCAGGTTTATATATATCCGTCCTTGTTCACAAGTGAAGTACTTTGTGCAAAGGGAAACCCCTTCTGGTTCATAGGTTCCAAGCCATAAACCATCTTTTTCACAATTCCCTCAATGGTCTGTTCCATCCATCGTTCAGGTTCATCTCCTTCAGGTACAGTTTTGATTTCGGATTTAATGTCTGTACATATTTATAATTGTCAGAAAAGTGAGAATGAGCGGGACTATATCCTGGTCCATCAAATTTAAATTGACCTTGACCTACGTCTCACAACGCAGGCAAAGTGACTTTGAGATAGTGTTTTGGAAACACGTTCAAACAAATATAGTGTTTTGGGTTTTACCTTGAACGACCTTCATTGACCCACGCGGCTATTTCAAAGATTCAAGGATTCGATTTTGAACCATCTTCAGCTGCATGGAGTGCGTTTTCGGTTTGACTTTGAGTGACTTTCTGCAATATTATGTGTTTTTGCTAAAGTGAATTCGAGGCCGCTCATGTATTTATTTCCCTTCACTCCCTCAGTTTTTTAAATGAACATATAACAGAGGCGCCATTCACTCACAGGAGTCAGTTTGATATCGCGCGTTTCACTGTGTTAGGTGTGGTAAAACTTTCAGCCGTGAAGATAACATGCGTTGTCATCAAATGCAGTCCTACAGGTCCTCCAGTAAAACGACTCAGAGCGGATTATGCCCAACCAAGTGCAGTTCAGGACATTAAATGGTGTGAAAATCATCAACAGCGCATTTAAATATAGGTTTGTTAGCTACAAGATCGAAAATAAAAATCTGCATTCAGACTATCAATCATTTTTCAATGAAGTTAGGCATGAAGTTGTGACTTTCATTAATCGAATGGTGCAAGTTCATTACACTTTGGAAGTAAACATGGAGATGTTTGGGAGGTACATACTTCAGATGCAGGAAATATTAGAGGTGAAGTCTTTTAACAGCCAATATCAAATTGTTGATCAATCCAACAACCTTCAAAAACTGTGTAATTTCAAGAACGTGAATCAGGTATATCATCTACATAAATCTGAAAGATTTCAGTCATTAAACAAATAATGGGGTCTCAGGTAGGACTCTGGAGAAAGTTGTTTTTATCAAATTCAAATTAAACATCAAAAAACTTGCCCCTCTTATTGAATCCTCCTAAATCAAACTTCTAGAATTCATCACTTTGGAGAGGGAAAAAGTGTGAGGAAAGGGAACCATTTCTGCTCCGCTTGGGCGATGACATCAGCTCTGCAACCGACGCTAACGGCACTTCCCCAAACAAATACTTCTTCTAGCCGAATTCAGTTGGGTCTCTAGCTGTCTTCATCTTCTTCGAATGGAAACTATGAGTATATTAGTTATGTTAACTATTATGTTTCATTCTATTTGTTTTGTGAATTTCTAGTGATGCCGTTAAATCTATGGAGGGTAAGGTTAACATCCTGCAAGACGTGGTGGTGCAACCAGAGCTACCAGAGCTACCAGAGAATATCGTGGACTTATTAACGGAATTTCTTTGCTCAGCCCCCTTCCTGAAAAAGCTTTGTTGGTGACTGCTCCAAGATCCTGATGTAGTTAGATGGAGAATGTTCTTTCGACCACCTCTTCTTTTAAAACGGAGAGCACCACCAAAGGTGCGAAGAAGGGGTCGAAGAGTGCCAGCAAGAGAGTGGCAGTTAGTGGTAGTGATAATGAGTTTGCTGTTCCCGAACCGACAAAGAAGAGGAGGCCAACCGCTAAGTGGAGCCGACCGTGAAACCGAAGCAGTCGGAGCTGCAGAAATAAAAATGAAAATGTGGGATAAGACTTGTTCTCATCGATGGCCGCCGATGACCCTCTGGCGGGCCCCTACAACGACGGATATCACCCTTTTGAAGGCCAAGGCGTCCAAGACGAAAAAGCAGCCACCGACGGCGCCGCAGATGTCAACTGTTGCGTCTAACATTGAGCCAGCCAACACGGTGTCTTTGGAAACCACAGCCGAATCACATGACCAACCACTAGCCGGTTCCATAGCACCTCCGCCACCGATGTCGCAGAGGAGCTCATACCTAATCGAGGACTTGCTCAAACTAAGTAGAATATACCGAGAGAAGAAGACGAAACTGCTGACGATCCAGGGCAGTGATGAAAAATTGGCGAAAATTGCCGCACGTAAGCGACGATTTGAAGTTCGACAGGCGCAGCTAGTCGAACAGACAGCGTTTACTGGCTGAATTGGCAGAGATGGAAATCGATATCGAGGGAGGGAGAGTAGGGACATCGTCGGAGTTGAAGAGGAGTACGGTGTTGGGGGTGATTCAACGAATCGGTACCGCTTGGAGGTCTACGAAATGAGCGACTGTTTGAAGGCTCTCCAGGAGCGGATCAAGAAGGGATTCGACGACGTGGCAACATAACCGCCATTCATGTCCCTTCCTCAGATGTTTTTTTCATGGAGTACACGTGGGTTGATTGATGTACACAGGGCATTGCGTGGAAGGGCACTGTCCACTTCCCTCCATTCCTTCCATTATGGAAAAAAAATATCAATTGTGTCACATCTTGTGAAAACTTCATTCCACTTCATCCCCACTCTTCCTCATTCCTCCCCACTTCCTCTCAAAAGTATGAAAATAGGACGTATCCGATGAAACATTCAGTTGTTCAGCTATCTTCAACATGCCAGTAACTTACTAGCAAGCAGATTCCACTACCGATCCCTACGCATTTTTGGAGAACAGAAGGTCACCTGGAACTGGACCACAGAGCCCCATCACTACGAACAGCCCGGAGGATGGCCTGATACGAGACTGCAGGTGCTGCATGTTGCCGGCACCGATGAGGCGGACCTCTCCGACTACGAGTTCTCGGTTCCAACGCGGATCCAACCAGCAATCCAGGTCAATATTTTTGAATTTCCATACCATAATCTATACTTATGAATGCGAAAGTCGCCCACTTAACACTCACGCATTCATTTCTGTTTCTTCATACTGGTAAGTCCCAAGAAGATAAAATTTGGCATAAAGTTACTGCTTAGGTCTAAAATACGCATGGATTTTCAAATATTCCAACTGAGGTGGCCCCATGTGGGGGCAAAAAGGACACAATGACATGTTGATAGTAATGAAAAAATGTTATTAATGTATTTAGTAAACGACGGAAGTGTATCATCTTAGCTATAAAAGATTGAAGTATGGGAGGATTAGAGCCTTCATACCCACTAATTATCATCAAAATAAAAATACGCCACATGGAAACGAATTCTAATGGACTGAATGAAATCGAGTATAAGATCTTGAAAGATTTTGTCTGAGTTCTTATAATATGGTAAACCATATGGCTCATATGTATGCTTATGAAGGCATGAGGGAATGTTCCAATATGAGCTTCTCGAATACCTTCAATTAATCGCTTACGGTTATTGCAGCTCTTGTTCATATCGCAGCTTCAAACCAATGGATTTAAGGAAGTTGAGGATACTAGCCCTCATCCTATACCTTTTCGAACTCGATGTTTGATTATAATCTTCTGAGAGACATATTGAGGAGTATAAGAGAATAATGACGATTACCAAGAAATTTTAAATATTATCACTGTATTGTATTTTATTGTGTTCACATTATTGCTGTGATACCAAACGTATCCATACTTCAATGAATATTATCATACCCTATTTATTCTATATATAATGTAACCGTTCAACTTTGCTAAATAATGATGATGAATAAACATTATTACTATTATTATCATTATTATCATTATAACCGTACTATGCGCTGGTCAGGCCCTATCCCCCGAAGCCCCGATACATTAGGGAGGGCGCGCCAGCATTATCAACCAGCGACAACTCTCCAGACCCTGTGGTTATTATTACTATTATTATTACCGTAGTAAGCGCTGGTCAGGTCGTATCTCCCGAAGCCCCGATACATTCGGGAGGGCGCGCCATCATTATCAACCAACGACCACTCCCCAGATCGTGGTTTAAGTGATCATTGGGTTAAAAAATCATATGCCCTGAGTAAGCGCAGTGGGCCAAGAATAA